GGTGCCAGGGGCGCGGTGCAGGGCAGCCGATGCGGGACGATGGCGGCAGAGGGGCCTGGGCGACGGCGATGGCGGCGATGGCGCTCCCGGCCGTAACCCCCGCACCAGCAATATGGCGTCAACAACAACGCCGCCGGTTCAAACGCCAGCCCCCCCCGTCCCGCTGCGGAGGCTCACGGGACTCGTGGTTTTCTCGCCCCGCCCCCGACGCTCAAACACGGGGTGACCGCTTGGGCCCTAGAACTACAATTCCCGGCGTACTCCGCGCCGGCCGCGCCGGCTTCCGGGCTCCGGTTTAAATCCCCCCTGGGAGGGTGCGGGTCGGGGTGTGGGACGCGTCGGGGTCCCGGGGAAGGGGTGAGGGTTCTCGTCGGGACAAAGGGTGAGAGCCCTGTCTGGTCTCCGAGTGGCTGCGGTAGCGGCTGTATGTCCGTGGGTCGCTTGTCTGTATGTGAAAAAGGGGCAAAGTGCGTTCAGTGGCCCGCATGGCCAGGGCAGAGCAGGGAACGTGCGGGAGTCGGAGGTGACAGCTAAGGACACGCCAGGAAAGGCCTCACGGTGTCGGGAGCTGTATCTCAGGGTAACCGATTGGTTTCCCCGCGATTGCATAAAGGGCATTCTTGCTTAAGGAGGGCGGTGAGGGAAGAGTGCTTGTGGAAAGAGCACAGCTCCTTCCTGTGCAGCTTCCTGATTGAAATAAACTGTGTTGCAGTTCACCCCGATGGAAAAGCTAACAGAGGTTGATAGCCCCCCAAAATATATGTAACTTTTAGCTTTTCTGTATCTTGTTAATTTAACCATGGTCATAAAGACAGCTTGTTTTTGAAGATAAAATGATGAATATGACCTTGTAAAATTTTAACACTTTGTTGCTTTTTTTACTGTGTTCTGAAATATAAGGTAGGCTTTCTCTAACGGTATAAAAATCCCACAAACCTTACCATCATTGGGAGGCAGGGATTGCTGTATACGCATTTGGTGTGTGGCATATATTGCTAATTAAGCCATAGCAGCACCCATTCAGTCTAAACACAAATGTGCTTTGCTGGCAGTGTGGTTGTGCTGCCCTTAGTATGACCGAGGTTCCAGGTGGTGGGGTGACCTGGCAGAACCTTTCTGCCCAACAAATGATTTGCTTTCTGGGACAGATAGCTCATGACAATGTTGGAGCAATTAGGTGAAATTCACCATACGTTTGCTTGAGTTGCCTCGGCCTAAAACTGATTATGGAAAATAGGAGAATGATTCCTCTGCTGTGAGCTTTTCCTTTCCAAGGAAAGGAAAGGAGGGTGCTAACAAGCCTTTCTAACACTAAGACAAGTTCTGATTCTCCGTAGCAAGACTCAGGAAATGTACTGCTGTTATTACAGTCTTATAATTGTCCTCCTATTACTATACCGGTACTACGACTTCTGTGGACATTCTTCTTTGCAATAATGATGGCTCATTTTCCATTTGTTTAATTCTTCATTTCTATTACATTTCCCTAAGCAGATAAGTTTCCCTGTGTTCAGGAATCATCACTGAGTACTCTTACCAAGCACTTCACCCGGCAAGACTAAGGCAAAAGTGCTCTTGCAGGCTTTGAATTAAGGAAGCCCTGTGCATATGATGTACCTACTTAGTTTGGAATGTCCTTTGCCCTGTTTCTGCCACCATCTATATGTTGAGAAGTGCTTGTGTTTTGGTGCGATATTGGAAAAAAAGATAAATTTCAGAATAACCAGCATTTTCCCACTGAACTTAATATTTTAGATACATATTCTGCATTCAGCAGCAGCAAAGATTTGGTTATGTTAACTCATGTCACACTAGATCCTAAGGACCATTCAGGTGCAATTTAAGTCAATTAAAACAGTCTGAGGAATCAGGTGAAACTTCATCAAGATAAGCTACTAGAAAGTCAGCTTTTGCCAGCATAGGCAGCACTGTAATTGTAAGCAATTGATTAGAACCATGATTGTCCTAATCAACAGAATTACTTGGCTTTTATCTGACCTTTAGTTGGTTGAATTAAACTGAAGTCTGATTAAAGTCAAAACAAAAATTCACACAGCCCTTTGCAGCAAATTAAACCCAGCTAAACCAATGCAGCTTTGCATGTAGACAAGCCCTAAGGCAGCAAAATGTCCAACAGCAGTGACAAAGTGCTTGATGATTGTCAGGGGACATGTGTTTTTACTTTCATGGTGGCAGGAAACACCATAGGGTCAAGGCTGCAAACCACTGTTTATATTGTTCTTTCTTCTACTTACTTATTATATAACCAATTTGCAGTGCCCCATTATGTGCTACATGGGGTACCTTTAAAATTATATATTATAAGCATATTTTTAAGATAAATAATACCCACACATTTTATTAATACTGAGAATGGGAGAGCTTATTCATAAATGGTGATGTGCTAGATTTTATTGGGTCTGCACTTCAAGCACGACACCTGTTAAAAAGACAAGTTCAGATGTAGGACAACTTTTTGACCTTTCTATAGCCTTGAATGAGGTGGGAAAGCAACGCTTTCAGTGTATTGCTTTGGGACTGTGATGGGAATGTCATAGGTGACCAAGTGGGCTTTGCATTCTCTTTTCTTCCTCTTCCTTCTGCCATTGCTTTGTTTCCCCATTGTTTTTTGTTTTCTTTTCTTTGCTGTCTTCTTCTCATTCTCTTTATACACCATCTTGACTCTGCTTTCTCTTCCTTTTCCTTGAGACATCCTTTTACTTTGATGTGAGGTCCACATCACAGTCCCTATCTTTCTTTTATGCCATCTAACCATATTCCTTCCACTTCACGCAGTGGTTCATTTCTCATTAACCTGTCATGCGTGCCAACATGGGAGCATGGATTAGTTGATCTATTTTCTAGGACTTATTCACCTCACCCAGAGTGAGCAAAACTCACTTTAAGCATTGTCATGCTACTTGAATTTGGATATGCATACCGAGGGTTTCTTACTTGTATATCAGGCACACGTTTTAGTTGCCAGTTTTGTGACCAAAATGTAGTGGAGGTTATCTGTCAGAACATCAGTGAAGCGTTTGTGTGGTGCCAGGTGAGAAGGATGATTTAAGTTGAAAAAAATGGAGGTTAGTGCAGGAGTTGTAAGGTGGGAGAAACAGCCAAAATAGAACTGGAATAAATTTCTCAGTCTGTTCTGCTATACAGTCACATAGATAGTGCTGGCCAAAGAGGAAGGATGCACAGGAACAGGAGTGAAAGGCAGAGTTAGTGAAGGTTAGCTCTGCTAATTTAGATGCTGGTAAACTGTATGAAAAATTGTGATCTGAACCTGCAACATGCACTGATTTTCAATAGGACAAATCTATTTCTTAGGCCCGAGATACTAAGGTATTTCCAGCAGAAGTACAGAAGTGTATTTCACAATATGAGAGACATTAAAAACACCTATTTTCTCTAAAATTCTATATATATTTCCACATACTTAGGAAAGATAAATTAAAACCAGAATCTGTGCAGGTAAAGATGACTGAGCTGATTAGGATAATAGAAATGGAAAAATTAGAGCAGGAAATTAAAGTGTTGTTA